CCCGGCGCCCGCAGCCTGCCCTGCTGCCCCCTTCCCTCCTTCCAGCGCCTGAGCCCCAAGCGCATGCTGCCGATGCATGCCAACAGCCTGGTTTGGCTTAAATGTCTGCTGTTTCGGGGTATTAAGGGGTATACGTTTTGTGACTGAAGGATGGATAGCAGGAGAAATACCTCATTTCACGGTTATAGTGTAGTTACATAGTTGGTTTCTTTGGTGTTGCCTTCCTTGCCACTCCTCATGGTAATGACTTCTGATTCCAGCTCTCTCTTGCCCCCCTTCATCCCCATCAGCCTGCTGCCTTAATTTTCTTTGCCAGTTCCCCGTCACTATTTTCTCTATGTGGTTGTCATGCCACTGTTTGATTCTTTTTGCTATTTTTGTCTTCCATCATCTTCTGATAAATGCCAGAGCACTCATCAGTGTCTTTTATTTTTTCCCATGAGACTGTTCCCCAGAATGTTTTGCACAAAAACTGGAGGAAATAATAGAGTGAAAACTTCTGTCTCCTGTAACACCAGTTACAGCTGTAAGTCAAGGTGGAGAAGTAGGCTTTGTATGTATAATATAGATAAAGTAACTTCTGTGAGAAGTAAGGATGTCTGCCTTGGACCTGGTTGGCAGGCTATGGACGTGTTCATCCCATAGACTGTTACCACGCCTCTCCCTTTAGGAAGGGAGATTCTTAGAAAATTGAGTTAAAATTTTAAATGAAATTACTTAAAAAGCTCAAAGTTCGCCTTTCTGTTAGTGGTACCGGCCGAGGACCAGGTAGTCCTAGCTGCTAAAAAATCAAGGCTTAAATGACAATATTGGCCAGCTTCAACCAAATTTGGCATTGTAGGAAAAATCTTAAAAGATGAGCATCTCTGAGTTTGTGAATTAGGTGGCTGGATGAAAGGGACACTCCAATTAATGCTCTTTGGCTGTATATTCTGTTGCAGCCATGTGGCAGGCAGGGTCAGGATGCTGTTCAGGGTTTTTCCTCTTTGGCTGGACCAGGTCTCTGATCCGGTTCGCCATGTGCTGCACAAATGCTTTGTGGCCATGTTGCGTGCAGATGGGGCTGAGCAGCTGGGGAGTCGGCTGCTGGGGTTGGCATGGCCATTGGGGAAATGCACATACAGCCACAGCCCTAGAAGAAGAAAGTTACTGAAGCAGGGGCTCAACAATTAACGGTTGTTTGGTCTTCGGGATGGTCAGCTGTATGGCATTTTGCCTGATGGTAGTTAGGACACATATAAGGAACATGAGAGACTTGAGGGGGTGGTGGCTGGAGGATAGAGAAGAAAGGGCATGAGTGGACTTGATGGGGTGGGATGAGAAACAAAGGGGCCATTATGAATTTGGATAAGAGCAGGAATTATGCTCGGGAGTGAGGGGCAGAGGGCACAGATCTGTACGGAATCAACTGTCATTACTTTCAACTGAGTGAGATGACTCCTAGTATTTTCTGTTTCCAATGCTTTTAGACTAATTGCCAGGGAAGATGGTGGCTATAACATGCTTGGGTTCAGCCACAAGCCTGTCGAGGCTGAGGCTGGGGCTCCAGCAGCCTTCCCAGAACGAGCAGCCACCTCTCTGTTCGGGCTCTTGTGCTGCCCCTTGCACCGTGCCAGTGCAACCATGTGCATGACTGCCCCGTGAACTGGGAGAGTGATCTAGTGGAAAATGAGCATGGGGAACGGGGCAAAAAGAGAGAGAGGTTGCTTCAGCAGCTCAGCTGCACAACTAGAGCTTAAAGGAAGCCAGCTAGGGATTTCCCTCATGGAAAGGGACTCTCCAGCAGCCTTGAGTCTAGAGGAGCTGGAAAGAGAACTGAGAATTTGGTCCAGAGCTCTTTCTGTTACTGAAATGTCATATTCTTTAAATAGTTCATTATTGTTACAAGCTCAGGGTTTCTCAGGCTTGACTGTGAGCTAGGATTATTGAATAGGCTAAGGAATCAGGTGATGTGTGTTGCTAATATTTTTAAAAATAAAAATCCAGGGCATTGATGAGAAACGCATGAGAATGGGAGCTGAGGGGAGGAGGAAGGGAAGGAATGTATAGTTATTACTGTGTCTATATAATGCTTTCCCTCTGAAGCCTCATGTTACTGTTTAAATGAATGAATTTGTTAGACATTTCAAAGCAAAAGCTTATACTTTTCTTCCAGTCTTTTACTTTGTAGACAGCTTTATAAATACAAAACTGCATGATAGTTTCTACAGGATCAAGAAAAGAAGTGTTGTGTAGGGGAGCTTTTGACCACTGCTTATATTTCTATTTAAACTGTAACAATACAGCTTTATGAACATTTAGTAAGGGAAAAATAGGTAATATATGTTAGATTAGATTGTGGTGTTGCTAAATCCAAAGTCAATTTCTATATTGTGTAAGGCATATTTGGAAACATTTGTTTCTGCCTTTCTCTTTCAAGACTGTGAAATAACTTGGTTTTGCACTAGCCAAACTGGTCTAAAATGAGAATTGATTTGCTTTTACTTCTGGAGAACGTTTTTCATTCCATCATGTAAGATTGTGTATTTTCACAGTACTTTACTAATATGAGCATTTTCCAGCTTTTGTTCCCACTTAGTGAGGGCAGTGGGACTTTCCTGGGGCTCTCCTTTGCTCCCAGTTCACTCAATGTGGAATTTTAAAAGGCATGTGAGCTACTTGAAAGCATGCTTCAGACTTGCAAAATTGAAACCGATGTGTAATTAGTAAGGAAAGAAAGGATGAAATCTAAGACTTCTACAACTTTATTCTACGGTAACTAGATTTTAAACTCCCTTGTCAGAAAGACAGCAAATTCTATGTAATTGAGATGGGGGGGGGGGGGGGGAAGAAAATTAGTTTCACTCATATGAAACCTTAACCTTTAAAGTGTATGGGATGCTCCCTGTAGTGGGATGTTGTAAGAAGATGTTGTTGTTTGTATATATGCATGTGCAGAGATGAGAAGGTAATGCATGCTTCGATCTAAAAATCAAGCTCGGCTACTGAAGGGAATATCTTTAGATACTGCTATGGTTCGTGTTCCAAATAGGAGTGATGCATATTTTTGCTAGATGTTTGAAGTCAAAACAACACCTAAAATATCTGCTTTAATTCCTCCTGATTTACTAGTGCTTGGGTGGATGCCAGTATAAGACTTCTGTGGTTTTTCTGTTCTCTTTTTTTCTTTTTAATTCTGTGATACAAGTACTGTGTAAGAAATCAAGTTCTAGCTCAGTGTAAGTTGTCACTATATTCACTCTTCTCTGTCGGGAGCTGTTTTAGGGGGCAGCAGTTTGAATTCTGCCTTTCCAAATATTTAAGTGCCTGTCAACCTCAGCAGAGGCATCAAGAGTGGTTTTTTTCTGTTTTCTAACAGCGATTTACTTTTGGTGATTATGTTGTGAGAATGTGAGCCGCTCTTCATCTGTGCGTTAGAAAAGTGTGAGACCCTTAATGAAAGTTTTCCTGTGGCATGAGCATTGAAGTTCTGAATTCTTGCCTTTTTATTTATTTAAAGACACAAAGTAAGGAAAATTAAATTCTCAAGTGATCGCATGAGTCCCAGAAGTGAGTTTTGACCTCTAAAAGCAATATGCACGTGAGTGACTTTTTTATTTATGTGTGTATGAGGCTTTTTAGTGTAGCTCTCTCAGTCCATCTTGTATACTGAATAAATTTCTGTAAAACTGTGAAGAAAAAAAAGTGTTACTTTATGAAGTGCCTAGATGGATTTGTATTGAATTAGCCTTTCTCGATACACGGTAAAATGAGATTCTACCTGTCGGTATCAACATGTGCATCATTTTGAGGGGAGGGTTATAAAAGGGAAGAGCACTCTTGGTGAAGTATCTCAAGACAAAACTCACTATTTCTCTTAATTTGAGAATCTCCATCATTAAACGACACAATGCTTTCGCTTTATCAAAGCAGAATTATTCTCTAAAGAATGGGAAGTTTCAAAAAAGAACAGCTTTATGGAACAGTTGGATTCAAAGCCTCCTTTTCCTTTTCAAAACAGAAAGATGATGACATTGAAGAGGGGGATCTTCCTGAACACAAGAGGCCTCCAGCACCGATAGATTTCTCAAAAATTGATCCAGGGAAGCCTGAAAGTATCCTGAAGCTGACAAAAAAGGGGAAGACTTTGATGATGTTTGTCACGGTGTCAGGAAATCCCACAGAAAAGGAGACTGAAGAAATTACCAGCTTGTGGCAGGGCAGTCTCTTCAATGCAAACTATGATGTGCAAAGGTAAGCTGTTGTACCCAAGGATAAAATTCTTGCTTTTGCAGAACCCTTGTTTCTTTCTTCCTGAAAAACTTTTCAACTGTTCATCCTGTGCCCTTCCCCACCTCCATCATCCATCACTATTCCTTTGTTTCCATACCAGTTAATATACCAATTTGTTTTAAGTAGCGCTACAAAAATTCTGGTGTGGTGCGCAGATCTTTTTAACACTTAACGCATGATGTACGTATAGCCTAGTTTCTTTTTATCTCATTACGTTTCAGCTATTTATCAGTTTTAGCTGCAGTAGTTTGCCTTTATGTGCTTGATGGAAAACATCACACTTGGAAGACGTGTCACCACAAAAGGCTTTTTGTTCCCCTGGCTAAAAAAATGTGATTTTTCTCTCGGAGAGAGAGGATCATTGTGAAACAGTGGAATGTTGTGCTCTTGAATTGAGGCTGAGAAGGATTGCAGTAAGTGTATAAAGCGAATGTAGTCCCCATTAGTGGATTTTGCATAGTCCCAAATTAGTTCTTAAGTTTTCTTCGTATTCTTACTCCTCCTTGGTTATTTGTAAACTTAATACAGCTTATTATTACATGTGTGCTAGAAAATTGTTCTCTTGTCCCCATCCCCAGGCAACATCAACAAGACCAACTTCTTGCTCTTAAATGTATGCCTCAGTTGTGGAGGTGCTCCAAATTAAGCAAAATGTTGTAGCACTTGAAAGGCATGGAGCTAACTTATATATTTCCTCTAGGTTTATTGTTGGCTCAAATCGTGCCATCTTTATGCTACGTGATGGCGGTTATGCCTGGGAGATCAAAGACTTTCTGATAAATCAAGAAAGGTGTGCGGATGTTACTCTGGAAGGTCAGGTTTATCCTGGCAAAGGAGCAGAAGAAAGTGAGAAAGTGAAAAACAAAACAAAACCTGAAAAAGCAAAGAAGAAAAAAGACGGAGACAAGAAATCTAATAACATCAAAGAGGACAACCGAGCGACCAAACAGAGAGAGGATCTATGACGGATGCGTTAACCAGACTGAATACTGCTCTGCTGTTCCTTGAAGGGAAACTAAATTTCCATACAATTCCTGGCTTTATTGGGGGGTGGGGTGGGGGGAGGAAGGAAGCAAGCAGAGATTACTGAGGTTAAAGGACTTCTGTGTTGAAATTCACCAGTTTACTTATTAATGTTGGCCATTTGTTTAGTTACAGGAAAGGTAATGTTTAATACCAGCAATTGACTACTTTAGTTTGTAATTTTTTATGCTTTTGTTGTTTAAAATTAACATACAAATCTGTGTGTCTAACATCACAAACTTAAGTGGAAAAGAAGAAATACAGTCTCGGAATACACTGGTGTTCATCTGTAGTAGCCACATCCATCTTGCATACCCAAGTTGATCATTGATTCATAGTTGCTGTTAGGTAGCAGCGTACAATGCTAAAAGATTCTCTTGGAGGCCAGTTTGCTAGACTCAGTTGGCAAAACTTCCTAAAATTGCAAAGAACAGTGTTACAGTGGCCAAAGATGCCTGAAATCACAGGGTTTAGGACATGTCTGGTTAGACTGCCTGTTTCTTTAAAATAAGCAAACCCCCTTCTGTCTGTCCCCAGAAATTCACGGAAGTGCTTAGAAGCATGGTGGAAGCTAGGCAGATATTTGGCTAATGCACTCCAAATCAGTGCAGAAAGGGAGATTCTGTACCCATCAGAAGTGATGCTGGGATGTTAATGGAATTGCAGTACCCACAGCAGCAGTGTCGGGGTGAAAGGAGAAGTCGGATTCATGCCATTCAGGTTGCTACCACTGCTGAAGAACTGTGCCTGTGGAAGCACATGTTACGAATGCCCCGTTATCTAGACAGTGAGCTGGAAGAAATAGCTTTAACTCTGAAATTAACTTGTTTTACTGGTTTAAGGGTTTGTTTAAATCTTTGAAAAAGCTACAATACAGTTAAACTTTGAGTTAGACATATCACTTGCTGATGTTTAATAATGACTTTATATATTTTTTTGGGGTACGGATTCCTGACTGACATGGTTGATTGTAAATGAACATTTGATTTAAATACAGTGAAGCCCAATGTATGTGAGCAAACTTGATTTCTCCTTGAAAGACTTTGTATAATTAGGAAGGTTTTATTACTTTTCAGATTGTATTCAGTCAAATGCATCGCTTAGAATTGTTTCCTTTCTGCCTTACTATGTGTTAAGAACTAAACGCACCTAGTATGTATGGTCCATATCATTTTCCAGAGGATGAGCACAGTATTAACTGTCCTCATTTGATACTACTAAGATGCTACTTTGACTCTTCATTTAAGGTGCTAAAATCCAAGTGTTTTGGATAAAAGGGCCTAATTGAACCATAATGGTTGATCTTGTGGAATACTTCAGTATCAAAAGTGGGAAGCTGTGACTTACTGAGTGCTTGTTCTAAAATAAAAGATGTCACTAAACGTACCGTTTCACTGAGTAGTAAAACCTTTTAAATAATTACGCATTTAGTTAGGTATTCGGGAGACAGACTAACTCGTCTTTGGTTTCTGTACATAAGGACTAAATTATGTTGATGAAGGTTCCAGGTGATCAGTTTTATTTAATTTTAATTATATTTGTATGAATTTAGGGTTACAGAAACCTTTCTAGCCACGCTTCATTAAACAGGTCTTTGCCTGTTTGAGTGGAAAAATGAAAATCATGTATTTCTTCAGGCTTAACTGTATTACTTTTATATTCTACTATTAATCCAAATGTGTAGCAGAGTTGAGAAGAGTCTCTGTAGATACTTGGGTATCGCATTGCACTGAGGAGAGATGTGCAGTCCATTTCTTGTTCATAACTAATTTATCATTTTGTGAAGTGTTCTGGGTTTGCACCTCTGTTTTTTTTTAAAGTATATTGCTTCTCATCTCAAGAGATGAACAGAGGACAGATGAAACTATAAATATGAAATATTAATGAGTTTTTTGTTTTTACAACGTAAATCTATGGTATAGAGATGCCAATTCAGGTTATGATCAGAAACGTGTGGAAATGCAGTTTCTGTAGTTTTCCTAATGTTATGAAACATAAACATGATTTCTTTTTTGATCAAACTGGGTTCTTCCTGAGCTCAATAATTAAGCAATGCAAACCAGTATACAAATAATACAAAGGCAAATTAGCCAAGGAGGAGGAGCGATTACTACACTATAGCGATAGCCCAACTTTTGAGAACAGATACTTGTTTTAGTCATTCATAAATGTACATTTACAGTAGGCTGGGCCTTTTCCCTGTATAGTTAAAAGGAGGGGGCAGCTTTGTTGAAATTCAGCCAGCTGACTGAGTTTTTCGTTTGGCTGTTTTGAGTCATTAAGTTGCCTGTGCCAAATACAGGCATGTCTTTTGCCACATAGCTTATTTGAATTTTAAAGTGTTTGGGGTTTTTTTTAGGTTTTTAATAGGAGTAATGACGTGAGAGTTGCTTTTTGATGTAAAATTCTGCCTTCAAGTAGCTTTTTTGCCTTCCATTTTTCTTCTCCCTCTTTCATGCTTTACACTCAACAAATAATTAAATATGCTAGTAAGTATAATGTGGCAGCCTGGAAGGAATGTCTTCACTAGCCAGTCTGTCTCTGGTACCGCAGTTCGTAACTCTACTCCAAAACAGCTTATGTTCCCTTTTAAAACTAGTAAGTCCTTGAGACTCTAGCACTTGTCCTGATGCAGTGTTACATAAGCAGGTGTTATTTTGTAATGATTTAAGAGGCCCAAACACAATATCACTTTTATATATATGTAAAAATAAATATTTTCAAAAAGTGGCTTAAGGGCATTAATGTTCTTTAAGTACCCCAGCAGATGTTGAATTCCACTTTATAGGTGTTGTATGTTTGAGTCTCATCAGACTTTCAGTAACAGAATTTTGGCTCTACATACAGGCAATTCAGATACTTGTTAAAATTAGTTTTAAAAGCTGTAACGTGGTGATTATATCTCTTACTATTTCCTTTTTTTTTTTTTTCCAGTACTACACAGAGGTAGGTGGAAAATCATCTGCTTTCATGATGTCTGCTGCCTTTCTCCACTCAGCTTAGTGGTTTTCTCTAGTGCCACAGTTTGAGTTCTAGTGCCAGAACTAAGTTTTCTAAACTATCATTATATTTTTAACCCAGCTGTCCTTCTCAGAAAAAAGTTTGTCAATGATACTACACAAGATGTCATTGCACTTTGCGAAAAATTTCCAATGGACAATCGGCTTTTTATGTAATAAAATACTGGAACAAATATCTTGGGTGGTTTTTGGTTGGTGTTTTTTTTTTTTTTCTTTTTTAAGATAATCCTCATGTATACTGTGTGCCTTACCCGTTTTACTGAAGGAAAAAAAAAATCAGTTGAAATTCCTACCTAGAAGAGTACAAGTATATCTCCTGCTCTTGAGGGCTTAACTTCATCAAGCAAGTAGGTAGGAAAGTTGACATGTAAATTGCTAGGACCAGGGTACAGAAGACCCGAGAGAAGTAACACGCAGTAAATGAATGAATGCGGGCGGTTGAACTTCTAAAAAAAGTCCTCATCACCTACTAAATCTTACTAATCAGGAGATGCAAGCAGTCATCTTCATTTAAAAAAAGACAAGAATTGCAGGTGCTGTCATTGTTACATTGCTAAGGTTTATACATGATGGTGCAATAAAGTTCCCTGTAGCACCACACCTATTAAGCCTCTCTATGTGCTGCACAGGCTTTCTCTTCGTACAAATCTCTTGCTAGCAGGGAAGTTCGTGGTTCCCATTTCTTTGGCAGCTTCTCTTAGTTCGTCTTTAGCTTTGTTGCTGCACTTATTACTAGGTGAAGTACCCATTTTTTAAATTGTATCTTTAAGTCTGTTATGACACACTTAACAAACAGCGACAGGATTTCTGACCTTTGCTGGAGCGGTCAAAGCATTTCTCCTCTCTGAACAGTCAGTTCAGCCTTTACTTCGGAAAGATTCTACATTCTCGTCACTGTTTCTGAACTCTTAATTTTCTCGTGAACAGGAAATCATAAATTAAAATACCATTTTGTTAAGATACAGAACAGCCTACTTTTGTCTGATATTTGGCCATTGTTCTTGTGGGGCTTATAGTAAGGCTTGGAAATTATTTCCAGTCTTTATCTGTGGCTCATTTCCTTTTCTTTTCAAGGAGTAACTGTGTTTGCCTTTTCCAGAGGTGTGGTTTTTTTTTTTTTAATTGCATTGGACGTTTACAGCAATTCAAAGAGCCTGTGCCTGAATAATGGGGATGCCCCTGTTTTTACAAATGCCTGTTTCATAACAATGTTTCTCATTCTCAAGATTGCCATCCTACTATGTCTGTTGATACACTTTTATTTGATAATTCTTACTCTGGGATAAAATGAACTATATTTGCATAGCACTATTTTCTGTCTTTCATACTGTGCCATTTTAACAGGGGCAAAACCCACTGGATTCAGGTAATATTAAATTGCCAGAAGGTTAGAGCTGCTTGGATTTATGAAGAAAAAACACTCCACTTGAATTTTTTGGTGGTGGTGTGTTTTCTCCTCCAGTAGAGAAGTCAGGTGGTGTGAGGGGGCTGGACACACCATCTACCTCCAGCAGAAGAGGTGTGTGCAGGGTAGTTTCTGATTAGTATTTAAAAGCTTGATGTAATGCATTACAATCAAGCAGTGTAGGGCACACCAGCCTTTATCCAACAACAGCTGGTAAATGCTTTGTTTCTTTCCCGTAATAGATCGGTGTTTTCACTGTTGATGCTAGTGTCAGCTGGGGATCAGTTACCGGTGGCATTGTATTGATGGATTTCTGTAATACCAAAAGCAGATCTCTTAACCATCTCTTAAATTAACAGTAACAATTATAATAAAGAATTTTTTAAAAACGTGGGGATGTTTTTGATATTTATTTTAATTATTATACAGACTTTGGTATTTTGGGAGGGAGAAATGGGACAGCTAAAGGAGCTTCAGCCTCTTCCGCGTCTTACTGGCAAAGGCCAGCAAATAAGCGTTCCTGCAGCACATGGTCTTGCTGTGCAGCCTCTCTGTTAAGAAGAGGATGGTGATAACATGGTAACAGCAGAGTCTCCCCACCTCGTGAAGAGCTATAATTCATCCCATTAGGATGCCTTCCGATACCACCGCTCCGAAACAGTAGCATGGAGGTGACGTGTGTCATGGTTCAGATATTCAGGTGACTCAGT